AGACACACACGCATACAACTCAAATTCAAACATGTAATCAGAGAAAGAAAGACAAATATAAATAGACATTCAGTATACTGTACATTACAGTATAATGCCATCCTGCATATTTGCCCTCAATAACGGTGCGTGCCACCAGCATGAATAATGGACGATAACGTTGTGCTCCTCACTATTCAATGAATAATATATACATATCCATTTCTGCCTCCCTCTTTCTCTCCAACTCTTTGTATGTCCATTTCTTAGAGATCCCAAGGAGGGAGATGACCCATCTGATTAAATGAATGAAAGGACAGAGTAAAGGAACAACAAAAGAAGAGCAAGAGGCAAAGAAGGAGAGAAACACATCCAACAGAGAACAAAAAGGAAACAGGAGGAGGAGAGTGGGAAATGTGGGGAGCTCCATGAAGACTGAGAGAGAATAGGTATAAACAATAAGCATTATAGGGAGGAAAAAAAGTCTTGAAAGAGACGGACAGGGCCGAAAGTAAAAGAGGGGAAGCCACAGAGGGCGAAGAAGCTCGGAGCTTAGGAAAAGTAGGAAGGCAAAGCGAAGGACTGGTTGAGGGAGGGAAGAAACATCTGGATGGTCTCCACAGGGACAGCCAGCAGGTTACCGCCCCTTCGAAGATGGCCTCCAACTTCAATGACATCGTCAAGCAAGGCTACGTACGCATGCGGAGCCGCAAGCTGGGGGTGAGTGTGTAAGTGTGTGTGCGTGTCTCTACATTCATGTTTTATCACACCCATCGCAGAAGGCAATTCTTGGCTTTACGCTGTAAAACTGAGATTGTTTTTTAAGTTTCCACCAACTGGGTAAGTTAACTAGTGTAATACATGTACTGTTGATATATCCATATGTGCATAACTTTATACATATATTGAGGAACCCCTTGAAAACATTGTTGGTACATCTCAAGGTGTTATTCCTAATAAACAATTCCCAATACAGTGTCATACATTTGCACATTTAATGAGCTATTCATGAATATCTACTTCTACAGTGTGACCAAGGTGTTTGATATGTCAAATAGTGTGTAATTCTTTGTAGATGGGTGAATGGACTTTTCATTTTGACAACTGTAACTTAGAGCATGACCCATATATCAGTCGGCCAATATTATCCAAATAACAAAAAGACTCTCACTTTGTATTGATCCACAATATGTTTTTTGTAATTTGGGTGAATCAACCCTTTGAGGAAAGATGATTATATATGCTGAATACAGCATATCAGCCCACTAGAATCGGGACAGTAGATTTATATTAGAAGCAGGCAGATTTGAGTGTTAGTCACATTCAGATGTTGAAGGCTGTGGAATTCAACTTTGCATGACTCATATTATGGAGACAAACACAAATCAGTTTGAGCCAGGTTCTGTTCACCAGCTCACATCTATTGCTGCTCACAAGTGAATGCTGCTGAAGCTGAAATTCCCATTTCAGCATGAAGTCAGGGCTTAGGATATTACCAAAGTTTTAGCTCAGTGAATGGCTTATGTATAGGAAAGATGTGGCCTGTGGGAAATAATGCTTGCTTTGTAGTGCTTGAAAGAGAGAATATATGTGTGTGTTTTTATGTTTGCTTTTACTTCCAAAAGGTCCAAACCTTATCACTGGTCTTAACTATTCATCTAGCACCATCATAGGGTCAATATTAGGATTTGTCCAGCACTTTGTAAATAAATACCTGAAAAACTAACATTCAAATATCAGGGTAAAAACTACTTGACTTCTTTGTGTCATTGGTTTAAAAATGGAAATCGGAAAATTACTTATTGTGAATTCTTGAATTTTCTGTCATTTGTGAGAGTTCCTGACTAAAACTTGAAGAGCTGAGACAGCAGGAGAAATGTCTCCTCCAACTCTGCTTTGAGGCAACACAGCCAACCACTGCCAGGATCCTTGTTCTTCAAGTGATAGAGTCCTTGGTTGTGCTGAATCCCTGTGCTTTGTGTTAAAGAAGCAGCGCTTTGATTTAACAAGGTCACATAGCAGAGTCAATGCTGATTATTTCCCAGCTGAGGTCTTGTGAAGGCAGAGTTCTACTTTCTGAATTCTATACTCTGTCTCCTTATACTGTGTGTCCTCTCCAGCCCTGGCTTTCGATCAGCTGTAGAAACTGTGATGCAATTCATTTTTTCTGTCTTCTATCATGAAGTTGTGGGTTGGAGGTCTAAGGATCTGTCATCCAAGGAAATACAAATGAAGGGAAAATGTGAGCAAGAAGATTTTTTTTAAATTTTAGTCAAGTTTAATTGTCTGCTCTAATTTTTGACTCCATGTCCTATCTTGAACAATGCATAGTGTATCATACTTTTCATTTATAGTTTTATATCTTCTATTATATTTCGTATTTTTTAATATTTTTATTTATATATTTTATTTTATGCTTTTGTTCTCCTACTAATACTTTGCCCTATTGCTGCTGTGTCAACCTGATTTTGTCAACCTGAATTTCTCCTAAGGGGGATAAATAAAGGAATATCTTATCTTATCTTATCTTATCTTATCATATCTTATCTTATGGTTTGCCTGTGGATTTGCCTGACCAGCATCATTCTTATTTTAGAATAATTCACAAAAAATGTTATACACTCGTTTGTATTTACAGTACATTTGAGCCAGTAGCTAAATTAACTGGACCTTTTACCATTTCTCTCTTTCTCTGTGACTGTCTCTCTCTCTTTGGGAATCTTTTGGTGCTATGTTTTGAACACCAACTGCTCTAGATTGTCCCCGACCCCTCTTTCTCATACTGCCCCAGTCGTTTCATTGCTCTGTGTCTTCTTTTTCCTTTTCTGCCTCATTATCTGTATCCTTCCCCTGCATTCTTTCTGTGTCATCTATCTTTCTCTCGTTTTTGCCCTTTTTCATTTGCTGTCTTAATCTATCTTCTCCCTGTGACAGTTTGGTCAGCAGATGTTGTGATGTGTAGTGTGAAGCATGGATAGTTTGACTTCAGTGGAACGTTGCTGGTGTGCTTTGGATATGAAAGCTCTTTACTGGTTTTACAGTCGCAAAGTATTGAATAATAGTCATTAAAAAAGATGGTAACTCCTGATGTTTCTTTGTGTATTCAGTAGTCAGTAACAGAGATTTTTGATTTATTGAAACAAACTGGTTATGATGTTCTGTTTTTTTCTTGTGTAATGTGGGTAATGTAATTTGGTATACATCATAATTATTTGCAGTCAAGTGGGTGAAAACAGCTAATATTAGCCTCTTACCTGCAATTCTGAGTATCAGGAATTTTGGATAACTATGGTATCTCACACAAAACCTTTGAAGGCCACCATTACTATCCATCCATCTGTCCATTGTCCACTTATACGCCCCTCTTCTTAGTTACCTCCTAAAGCTCCTCTTGGGCCATCCCAAGGCATTTGTAGGACTCCAGTGTCTGCCTTGGGGTCTCCTCTCAGTTGAACATGGCTTTAATTTTGGAGCTGATCCCCTTTTAACACAAAGCAGCAACTGTTCTACACCAGACTTTTGGATGTCCAAGCTCTTTACCCTGTCCCTATATAGGTGAGTCCAGACACATTAAGAAGGAGACTCATTTTCTCTGCTTGTATCAGCGATATCATTCTTTCGGTCACTGCCCAAAGCTCATGACCATAGGTGAGAGTTGGAATGTAGATGGACTGGTAAACTGAGAAGCTCAACGGCCCTCATCTCAGCTCCTTCTTCATCACAATAGTCCGACACCCACATTACAGCCAATGCTACACTGAACTGCCACAATTAATAGTTACAGCTAATATCAACAGTAATACAATTGAAAAGGATCTTTATACCATTTGTACTGTTATACTTAACAAAATACTATGAATACATAACATCATATGGGGGTTAAAAGGCTAGCAATCTTGGAATAACCATCCCAAGCATTGAACAACTGTTTTCCTGTTTTTCCCATTCTGCCATCATGGCCTGAATGCAGCATTTGACACATTATGACATGATAGCTGTTATCACAACGTGTTAACAAGCCATTGCTTATTTAGGCATCCAGCAGACACAGAGCAACATTTTTATTCATTCAGAGTTGTGTTTGAGTTCATCTGACGAATTTAAGACCAATATTGACTCTTCAACTTGTGAGAGAAACATCTGGCTCTTTAGCTACTAAATGCTCCACTATGTTCACCAGCTAGTCTCTGTGTCAGTCTGCTGTGTGGTGCTGTATAGGTAGTCTACAGTGGTTTTATCTAGTCTTGCAATACCAGGCAATCGCAGATCTCAGTGCCTGCCAATCATCTGCAAAGTAGTTGCTTGAATGGTGGTGGGAATAGCCGCCAGCAAACATATGTTGCTTAAAGGACATGCCATACTAAAAACAATGCTCTCTCTCCTTTCCCCTCCATAGCAAATCATTTTGTAATTTGGGAAGAGCTTTTTGAAACATCGAAAATGGATGTGCAACGTTATATGGTACAAAAGTATTTACAAGCACATGACTTCTGCACATCACTGCTATGTCACCACCCTAAAGACTTTGGATTGGTTCTGCAATGCAGTTTTTTTTTAAATTCTCTAATTGTTTCCACCAAAGCTGGGAGGGTCTATTGAGCGAAAAACAGCTGCCTGCTAGCACTGGAAATTGATGAGAGAGGTGAGAGTGAATGAATGAGAACAGTTACCAAACATCAAAACAATAAGCTGAAAGATGTTGAAATGCTCTCTAGAACTGAGGGGAACTACAGCATTAGTGCAGCTTTAAGTTGGAAAAAAGTCAGGTTTTGCTAGCTTTTGTTTTTGAATTCATGATAAACTCAAGTTTAGGATAGCGTTGACAAAGTTTTAATACGCCTCAGAGTTGTCCTAGTGAAACTCTTGGATACCCTGGAGGGCAAGCAATTTTAGTCAGTGAGTTAACAAAGTGAAAACCCAGGAGAGAGACAGGGGTAGGAGGAGGGCATGATTACAAAGAGAGGTAAAAAAGAGGGTTATCTGAGTTAGTCTCTGCATCCTTAGGGCAGAGAGGACTTGCACAGCTGAGGTCCTCCTTAAGGCTGGGTAGATAGACTGCCAGAGTCATGCTTAATTTATCTCAACAGGAATAACAAAGCCAAAGGAAAAAGCCCCAGACATGCAAAGTCCCAGCGCACACTGACTACTAACCTTGGGTGCACTAATGTCCCTGTACAACCCTAATGTTTCCACGCAACAGTCTGTTTTTTGTTTGCTGCTTTAGTATTACCACAGTCCTCTAAGTATAATGAACTATTGAGATTGATATTGATCAGCCTCTGGGCATGGAACATGGTTTCAAACCCCCACACCCTCCTTAACAACCTCCCGCTGATTAAGCATGCAGTCAATGCATTGGGATGGTTAAAAGGCACCAAGCCTAAAAGCACATGTGAGATGATGTCCTCTGCCCATATGCTCAGATGTGCCTATTGGGTATGAGGAAACAAATGCTTATGTAGTTTTTTCTCCCACATTCTGCAAGTAAAATACATTTTCCATCCTTCAGATGCACCCACACACTGAAACAATGGATGCATTCCAAGCTTTGAGATTAGTAAGCTAAACACTCCTTAGACTATTTGAATATGGAGAGACCTGTACTTAATACACAACACCAGCATTCAAGTAGCTCATGGACATCCTTTACAGTAAAAGCACATTGTGGAGAGACCCTGAATAATGCATCTATTCACCAAGCAAACAAAATGGTAAACTAT